CAAATCTACCAGATCATGTGTTCAGATTGAATAAGGCACTGTATGGTCTGAAGCAGGCTCCTAGAGCATGGTATGAAAGGCTGTCAAAGTTTCTGCTGAAGAATGGTTTTAAAAGAGGCAAGATAGACAATACTTTGTTCTTATTAAAAAGAGAACAACAATTGCTTATTATTCAAGTTTATGTGGATGACATAATTTTTGGACCTACTTCAGAACATTTGTGTGAAGAATTCTCATCATTAATGGGAAAGGAATTTGAAATGAGCATGATGGGTGAATTGACATTCTTCCTGGGTCTGCAGATCAAGCAGTCGTCAAATGGGATTTCAATTTGTCAGGAGAAGTACATTAAGGAGCTGCTGAAGAAATTCAATATGTTTGATTCTAAACCTATTGATACTCCTATGGGAACAAATTCCAAGCTGGTAGTAGAGGAAACTGATCCTCTTGTGAATCAAACAATGTACAGGGGAATCATTGGATACTTGTTATATCTGACAGCTAGCAGCCCTGATATTGTGTAAAGTGTTGGAATGTGTGTCAGGTTTTAAGCATGTCCTCGTGATTCACACTTGAAGGCTGCAAAACACATTCTCAGATACTTGAAGAAAACAGGGGACCTGGTTCTCTTCTATCCAGCAGGTGACACTTTTGATCTGGTTGGTTTTGCAGATGCTGATTTTGCTGGTTATCAAGTTGACAGGAAGAGTACCTCTGGAATGGCTCATTTCCTTGGATCATCAATTATCTCTTGGGGTACCAAGAAGCAGAACTCTGTGGCTCTTTCAACTGCTGAAGCTGAATATGTAGCTGCTGCAGCCTGCTGTTCTCAGTTGCTGTGGATCAGGCAACACTTGGAAGATTTTGGGATTCACATCAAAGCAATTCCTCTTATGTGTGACAATAATAGTGTTGTTAGTATGGGAAAGAATCCAGTCCATCATAAGAGAACAAAGCATATTGATGTTAGACATCACTTTTTGAGACATAATGTTGAGAAGGGAAATATTGTGCTCACATATTGTCCAACGGAGGAGCAAATTGCAGACATCTTCACCAAGGCTCTCAGCAAGGATCAATTTGAGAGAAATCGGTTGAAGTTGTGCATGTTGATCTCCAAGTGATGTTCTTAGCTTCCAACAGTTGAACTCCCTTGATGGCTAAAATTGCAGTGCAGGTATCCTTTGTGTGAATATTTAAATATCTGAACAAAGATCCTTTTTGTACCTTTTGTAGGTATACTCTCAGTAAGGACCTGCTCAGCAAGGGAAGCAACTAGAACAACTAAGGAATGAGATTTAACTGTGCTATGGTACCTGGTGCCTGTCCAGGTTAGCATTTATACATTAAATTGAAACTGAAAAATATGACCGTTGATAATGCCACGTGTCATTCATCAGTCACTCTGACCGTTAGTCCCATCGTTTCTATCTCAAACGACACATCCAATCACGGACCTGGCATCTTTTCACGCCTTTTTAAAAAACACCATTTACTTCTTTTGAAATCCACATCTGTCCTTTAACATTCTTCTTGTTTCACGAAGGGTTTTAGCAAAAGCTAAAAATGCAAAATTTATTTCTTCTTCTTCTTTTCTCTGTTCAACGAAACTTTTCTTTTGTGTGTAAAACATGTCTTCTCTTTCATCTTCCTCTAAACAGATGCTAGATGCTCTTAGCGAAATTGAGCCTCTTGCTTTCTATTCTCCGGCAACTGTACAGGCCAGACCCAATCCCCCTTTCTGTTCTCAACAAGACATACCCGATAACCCTTTCTATGCCATAGATCTAAACAGTTCTTGTGTGCCTACCGGACTTGGTCCGTTTCAAGATATGTTGCCTGACAATCTCTTTGAAGGAGATTTTCCTAAGCATAAGGCATCTGAGTCCAATATATTGGCAGCAAGTGAAGAGTTGATGATTGAGAGCTTGACTATGATGAGAGAAGAAGCAATGGCGGACAAACTGAAGTTTGGCAGAGGGAAGAGGTAAGAACTACTCAACCCATTTTTGATAAAATGCCTGATATAGAAAGGTATCCTTCTTCCTCCTCCTTTGACTCTGAAAGTGAGGAGGAACCTTTAAAATGGAAGGTTAAGCGAAGAGAAGGTGAGATATCTAGAAAAGGGAAGGAAAAGGTTGTAGAGGAGACCCCTAGGAGAAGATCTACCACTAGGTCTGCTGCTTAAAAGTTGATGGCTGATGCCTTGAAGTCCAATGCACGTTCTACTGCTGCAGTTAGAAGTGCCAGAACCTTCAAGGTATCAAATTTCAAAATGCCTGAGACTAATGTTGTTGAGTTGTCAAAAGAAAACTAAGAAGTAGAGGTCAGAGAAGAAAAAGGGAAAGGTCACAAAGAAGGTTGAAAACACTAAGTCAAAAAAGAAGAGTTCTGAGGGGAAAAGGAAGAGGTCACACGGACCTTGTTCCCAAGCCAGGAGAGATGAAAGTGTCAACATGCAGGAAGTTGTTGACAGCCTGAGAAACCAAGCCGTCTTGGCAGGGAGAGTTTTTGATATGGGAATCATAACTCTTCATGGCATGGATTCTCTTCACGATATGGTAGAGATCCAATCTTGGTTACACTTGTTCGACAGGAAATCCCCCATCCTCCATGAAGAAAAAGTGCGCGAATTTTACTATAATGTTCAATTCAAGGACGATGGGAGCATCCTCACACGGGTAAATGACATTGCTGTATATTTAGATGAGGGTGTGTTGAGCAAAATTCTCAGGGTGCCTAGAGAGGGGACCCGGTCTGTACTGGGCAGAACTTGCTCTTCTGAGTTTGCTTCTGTGATTTCTAAGACACCCACAACCAAGGTTGTTGGGATTTATAAGAAAATCATGAAGAGTGAGTACCAGTTGGTCTTTGAGTTCATCAACAAAGTTCTCCTTCCTCGCACTTAAAAGAGGACAGTAGCAATTGCTGTTGATTTGTTTGTGATGGAGATATTGTGTAGCTTCGAAGCCCTGAACCTCCCTGGCCTAATGCTTGAGCATATCCACAAAACTGTCATTGAGAGGAAAGGTGTTCACGGAATGGGTTGCGGATACTTTCTCACGGAGGCATTCAAGCATTTTCAAATTCCTCTCAGTGTTGGAAAGGTTGGGACGGTTAAGCAGACTATCTCCGAGAGTACCTTGGTTGAGTGCGAGTGCATTAAAGGAAGAGGATATCCAAAGAGAAAAATGGCTCAACTTATCAAAGATCAGGATCAGCTTAAGCACGAGGTTGAGGAGCTCACTGTGCGGTTGAGTGGTAAAGAGGTAGAGATTGCTATACTCAAAGTAAAACTGCTTACTGCACAGACTGAGGGACCTGGTGCTTCAGTGGTACAAGCTTTGGAGAGAGAGAGAATGCTGAGTTGAAGGCGAAGACAACTGCCTTGCAGGAAAAGGCTATCAAAGATAATGATGTTGCCAATGCACGACTCACTCTTGTCATCCAGTCCCTGTCTCATCCTCCCCCCTCTTCCTAGCCTGTTAAACAATCATCCCCTGTGTCTTCTTTTTTTGTGTGGCTTATCATTCTGTTAATGGATATTCAGTTTGATTTTAATGTATTAATGTTATGATGGCATGCTGGTTAACTTATTCCTTTGTTGTTCTGATTATCTTCTTTTGTGCATGCTTTTCCGTTACTGATTGATTGCTTATTAGCTTTGATCTTGTTCAGTATTTCTGTTGACATCATTGGTTTACTGCATATCTTTTTTATGATACCAAAAGGGGGAAGTAACACTGTAAGTAGCTAAATGATTATTCATGTAGGGGAATACAGTGAGGGGGAAGATACAGTGCGGGGGAATAAGCAAGGGGGAACAAAGTTGGAGAAGATCTGAGATCATTGTTTGTCATCATCAAAAAGGGGGAAAATGTTATTTGTAGTTTTGATGATTTGACAAACGTAGGGACCTTGTAAAGGTACCAGGTTTCTTACTTGAGTGATGAAGATGAAACAAACCAAGGGACCTTGTAGAGGTACCAGACTCTCATTGTAACGAGCCAGTTGACTGCCAGCTGGAGACGGTACAGAAAGTAGGTGCACACTTCCCGATGGCGTCAGAAAGTGAGACTTCTCCAACCAATGGCAAAGAAGTTAAGGAAAGTGACTTGTCCATATAAAAGGCACTTTCCTAAACATCTTTCATAGTTTTTGCAACTTGAGATAAAACTCTTCAAGAACATTTGCAAAGGTTGCAAGTAAACAAAGGCAGAATTATTCCAAGAACAACAGCATTCTCTCAAGCTTTTCGTGTATTTGTTTAGGAATACATTCTCTTGTTCTTAAACTGTAAACTATTCCTGAATCTATAAAGGAATCAGTGGGTAGTGTTAAAAGTCTAGGTTGTCAAAGTGGGAGAGCGTAGTGGGCAAATTGTTTTCTACTTAGGCTTGTTAAGCAATAGAGACTATTGCTTAAACGTGAGATTAAAAACTTTTCTCACATTTGTTGTAATCGTGTTTTACTTTTTCTTTTGAAGATTAGTGAAAACGATTGAAAATCCTGTGAGACAGGTCTTGGTTTTACTCCCTTAAGCAAGGAGGTTTCCACGTAAAATCATCGTGTTGATTTTACTGGATTTAACTTTCTGGTTTTATTCATTAGTGTAAAAAGGGACCTGGTCCATTACTTGTTAAGTGAAGACATATATTCTATCAGCAACAAGATCAAGTTCAAGATGACACCAAAAATGGTGAAACTCCATACTACCTACTTCAAGACGGTTTTTGAAGTACATAGATTATTCAGCTAAAAGAATCTTCCCATCAGTGTGAATAAAGTAGTTTTTCCAAAACTATATTGGTAGTAATATTGAAAAGACCAAATGTCTTAACCTAAATTTCCGATAAGTCAATGTGTCACCACAAAAATCTTAAAGCCTTTGATGGCGTGAGGATAAAGAAAGAGCGAAAACAGTACTAATACAACAAGGCGAAGATGTTATTTCTAATAAAGCTCATCTTCAGTGGATGTAACTTTTTTTTTTGCAACAATCACAATCTGATTTTCTTTTCCACCTTTTGAATTTGGTTAAGGAAAATCCAAGTCATCATAACATGAGGGGCAATCCTAACACAATATACTGGGAATCTAGCGTAAAATTTGAAGGGTCTTCCTGCCTTCAAAGTCTTCATGGCACAATCGAAAGAACTAGTGTAGGACAATTTTCCTTCAGCATCTAGTTGCAATTTCTGAATCTGGGTCTTCACGTAATCAAATGGTAAATTGCAAGCAGCAACAAAGAATCCAGAAACACTGCTGGCCCCTATTACTGTAGCAACCTCGCCCATGCCAAGGTTGTCCCTGAAGAACTCTACACTCTGATCATAAGAGGCAAACAAACCCATGTCCACACTCTGTCATGTTGAAATCTACCCATGAACAAGTTTTCCTCTTAAGACAAATAATGTATCTTATCCCACCTTCATACACCGAAAAAATAAACCTAGAAGATGCAACAACCTACAATTGTTTACAAATTAGAGATATTTAACATGCTTTTTTACTTGGTTAAACAATAATAAAATGGAGATGAATTACCTTCAACATACCTGATCTCGATATATTTTTTTTGATTCATCAATACCCAACGAAGCCGCAATTACTAAAATAAGATTCAGAAACGAAATATTTTCCCAACCACTATCCTATCACTTTTCTATCGCTCATATATAACATCACTTTCGCATGATCCAGAATGCCTTAACAAGATCGAAATATTCATTTTTGAATCTTCATAAATTTGTGTTTCAGAATATTTTGAAACAAACTTTTACTGTTTTTTCAAAAAACAATGAGAAAGTTTCACAATTTGAAATTCAAAAATGCCCAAATCAATTAGAGGTTTATGATGCTAAATTTGTTAAACGTTCGCGTGATTCATATGGTTAATTTTATCCTTTTTTGTGCACAGTAACTGATAACAACAATTCAAAAATTAAAGTATCTGACCACTTTACTTTAAGTATCGTTCTGTAATATTATGTATCCGAAAAACTATAAAAAAAAAAGGATTTTTTTGTAAATAGTGAAAGAGTAGGGATAGAAAGTAATTTGTCCTTTAGACTGTGATTTGCCTAATTTTTACATAATTTTTTCTTGATCAACTATGAAATACTTCAAATACTTTTATGTGTTTTTACTTTATTCTTTTTATGTCATTGCAATAAAAAAAATCTGTTAGTATTTTATAAATAACATTCCATATCAAAATATTGGATATCATGAAATTAAATCGCATGTTAATACATTTTCTATATATGTTAAATTTAAAATCAAAATATTTTTTTAAAAAATTCCGTATTAATTTCTGTAAAAATATAATATAAAATTGATTTGAAGGTAAAAATAATCTTAATTAATACAACCGTTATATTAGATTTACTCAAAGTTTGTATTGGATATTTTAAAATTTGAATTTGAATATGAATTGTATCCGAAAGCATATGAATATGAATGAGAGGTTGCTGATTTGAAGTTATCCGCTTAAGTATGTAATGTGAAATAAATAGTTATGGTGCATTCAATTTTTTTAAAAAAAATAATAAGTTAGAAAATTGTAATTCTAAAATATAATTTTCAACTTAATTTAATGTCGTTATTATATAATATTGTGAATTCTTAAATTTGCTAAATGACTTATAACTATTATATTTGTTCAAGATAGAATTTAACGGTTGCTAGATATAGATAAATAAATATTATTTATCTTAAATCCAAAAATTAAAAGTTAATGAAATTTTAAAGTGGTCAGTTATATTTAATTAGGCCTTACCTGTAACTTATTTATATAATTGGTTGTTTAAAATTTTCAAATCAAAATGAATTGCTTAATAGTTATCAAATCTTAATTTTTAGCAACATGGAAAAGAAGTTTCAAACTCCCAATTTAATTGGATAAATGTTTTTTTTTCTAAATAAAGATTAATTAGATTTTAACATTGTAATTTTTGTAAGTGTAATATTTTGCAATGTTTTTATAGTGTAATCTCTTCATTGCCATCCAACAATGTTTTTTTGTTTTTTTTTATTCTAAATAAAGGTTCTTTCTTTGTTAAGCTCTGATATGTTTACTCTACTGGGGAACAGAGGAGAAGAGTAAAATATCCCAGAATTCTACATCTATTAAACAAAGTGTCTCCATGAAGGTTACATAGAGAAACAGAGAAAAATAAGAGTAGCCATTGCTATAACATTCAAATCATCTTGATATATCAAGTAACCATTAGATAGACCATAACTACAAATAGTAAACTGAACCAAAACTATTACTGCATAATCAATAATACAAATTAACAGTCAAAAGCTTTTCTTGTTACAAGTCATAACACCTAGGAGCTTTTCCTAAATCACAATATGATTCTTTTGATTTGAAAGGTAAAACTTTCGAGAATATGGTTCAATAGGATAAGAAATTAATTGCTACATATGACCTTTTGATGACGGTTAGACAGTAAAGTTAATAATGCTTTGTAAAGATAAATCCCATTAAGTACCATGGGTATAACGTGTTTTCATTCTCCCCTCAAGAAGTGATATTTGAACTAGATGTAGGTTAAAATCCACAAGAGATTAATGTACAATAGCATTCATGGTTAAAAGTAGTATAATGTCAAAGAAAATTTACTTTCCTTCCTTGTCTACTTCCACTCAACGCACTTTACTAACAGAGTTCTCTAGTTAAAGGGTCAATATTATTGAGCACAAATCCAACAATTACACTAGCTTTTTGTGACCTCCATGGCCGTCTTCAGCTGCTCCAGCTACTGAATTCCTTGTAACCTCACCAATATCCGCTGTGAACCCCAGCAAATCACAGTGCCCAACCCGCCTCAATTTTATTTATTTTAGTTGAGCTAGTTTCTGGAGCTAAATTAACCCATTTTGGACATCTTGAAGATTGTATGAGCTCAGTTTAACAACAGATAAATTTGACATAAAAATTAACTGAAAATAAGGTTTAAAAAACCACAAGAATTCCATAAGCCAGGCTCCTTCCTTTTATCATAAGCAACGTTCTTTTATGGAATTTAAATATCTTTTTGGGAGAGGACGATTGAAACAAATATATCTACAACTTGCTGATGGAGCATACCTTCAGAAGATTGATGCCAACAAAAAATAAATATGATATCGAATCATTTTTATCTTTTACATAATTTATTATAATATATGTTTGATGAGGTTAGCGGAAACGTAAAATTAAAGAATAAGGAAGAACAAATCGGGTCAAAATGATTCTACGTCCACCAAAGAAAAATTGCATCAATATTTATTTAACTTTACAAAGAATACAAGTGAAACACTACAAGAAAGAACAACAAATGCCTTAGAAGGTGAGAAGACAAATAAGAGGATGTTTTGAAAATGAATTAAGAGTTATCTATTTATAGGAATGAATTCATCCTATTGATGTCATCCATGATTTACCTAAATTTTACCTACCAAGATACTATCTTAACTTTTATTTTGTACTAATTATCTTATTACCAAATATTCATGTTAATTTATCTTCCATTGAGTTTAATTCCACAAGGACCAAAGCAACTCTTTCAATCTCCACTTTGGTTTGCGTTCCAAGCATGCGTATAAACAACTCCGGCCAAAACTTCTACGCTTACTGGGCAATCCAACTGTAATAAACAAGAAGAATCAAATATTTGTTAAACATACTAGCTCCACCTAGCAGTTGTTCTCCAAGAGTTGCATCACTTAATGCATACTCCCGCTAAGTCCTTGCAGTGTGCAAACTTGGAAAGTAGGACTATTTTGGTCAACATGTCTGCAACGTTATCGTCTGTGATAACCTTCTCAACCTTGATAGATCCCTATTCAACGATATCTCGAATAAAATAGAATTTGTCATCACTGTGTTTGGTATGCTTATGAAATCTTTGATTTTTAATCAAATGAATATCACTTTGACTATCACATCTTAGAATTGTTTCCAGCTGAATCGAACTCAATTCTGCCACCAAACCTGCCAACTAAATATCTTCTTTCACTGTCTTCGTTGTGATCATGTATTCTGCCTCTGTTAAAGATAAAGTGACAACAGACTGTAAAGTTGATTTCCAACTAACGACACTGCCAAAGAGAGTAAAGATGTATCCAGTTGTTCTTCGATCAAGACCTGTTGCATAGTCAGAATTTACATAACCAAGAATTGAAATATCTTCACTTTTTTGGAAGGTTAGACCAACATCAGGAACTCCTTTGAGATATCTCAATATCCATTTGACAACTTTCCAGTGCTGTTTTCCTAGATTTTCCTTGTACCTACTTACTACACTTACATATTGAGCAATATCTGAACATGTACACACCATACATAATGCTACCAACTACGCTCACATAAGGAACTTTGGACATATGTTCCACCTCATCCATAGACTGAGTCATGAAAGCTTGAAATGAGAAGCTATAAGTGTACTTATAGGCTTGCTTATATGCATATTGAATCTCTCAAGAACCTTTTCAATGTACCTTTTTTGAGAAAGATGTACAACACCATTTTCTCAATCTCCATTCCTAGGATTTTCTGTGCAACTCCCAAATCCTTCATGTCAAATTTCTTACTCAACAGTTTCTTCAAAATATTTATATTTGTGATGTTGTTAGAAGCAATAAGCATATCATTAACATACAATAATAGATAAATCATAGAGTTACCAGACTTCTTTTTGTGATACACACAACTATCAAATGCACTCTTAAAAAATCCATGTTTAGTCATGAATGCATAAAACCTCTTGTGCCACTGTCTAGGTGATTGCTTCAAACAATGAAAGACTTCTTCAGTTGACATACATGGTCTTCTTTTCCTTCAGCTATGAAACCTTCATGCTGATCCTTATAAATTGACTCTTCTATATCACCATGTAAGAAAACAATTTTGACATCAAGTTGTTGAAGCTTTAAATCAAATTATTCAACCAATGCTATTAGCACGCAAATTGATATGTGTTTTATGACTTGAGAGAAAATCTCATTGTAGTCAATTTCTCGTTCTGGCTGAAACCCTTTGCAACCAATCTCGCCTTAAACATAGCATCTTCCACTTCTCGAATACCTTCTTTCTTTCTGTAGACTCATTTGCATCCAACTGTGCTCATTCCCTTAGACCTTTTAACTATGACTCATGTCTCATTTTTTTGAAGAGACTCCATCTCTTCCATCATGGCTAACTATCATTGTGCAACATCTTTGCAAGAAGTTGCTTCAACATACGAAGAGGACTCGAGATCCGTAATTTTTTCTTTTGCATCTACGAATGCATGTGCAATCATATTTTCTTGCTTTATAAAATGTTTCGATTTCAGTATCTGCATTTTGTCCCTTCCCTTGG